TGTGTCGAGTTCGTGGCGAGCTCCACCAAGACCGAGGGAAGCAACACCAACAGTGACGATGAGGACTTCCTCGCCGGACTCACCCACCGCCTCGCACAGTCCTCGCTGCAACTTACTCACCGCCCTGAAAGTTGTGGACGCTTGTGGAGGGAGAGTGACTATTGGTGACGTGGTTGGCCGAGCTGGGCTCAAGCTTAAAGCCACCTAGGATCTGCTGCACACGGTTGCAAGGGAAGTCCCGAGTTCCAGATCTACTGCATCCGTCTCGTCTCGAACAATTTTAAAGCACAGCGACACACAATATCGAATGCTACCATCACCGATTCACTTCGGCTTCTTCACCATCTCCGCCAAGCCCTTTACCATGGAGTTTCTACGCTCTAGAAATGGGGTTTCTTTCATTGTCAAGGCCATTGCTTTGATCTGCATGTTGAGCTGCAGAGTCACGTTAACACATTTTGCTGGGGTAGACCAATAATTACATTTGTTAACAATAAGACCTTTGGTGGGGCCCTTTGTTGAGCAACCTGAGTACAATTTGCTTTCCAGGCACAAGGTTCCCTCTATCTGCAAGTGCAATGGATGCTCTTTGAGTCGGCCAGGGCTGGGGTCAAGGCCAGCAGTGATTGGGTCATGGACAACATAGGCAAAGGGACAAGGTAAGATTCTTCATCATGAACCTGCCCATTTTCTGAAAACCAACTGTCGACCACCTTATGAATCATGCATGTTCCTCTTTTCTGAAAAAAGAAAAGCAAAAGCAGAAAACAAAAGCAGAAAGCAAAAGAGAAAGCAAAAGTGAGGAATAAACACCCTACCGGAATGATGTGAGTTACTTTTCTTATTTCTGAATTATGTAAATTATTTTTCTTATCTTTCGGAAACATCTGTATAAACCCCATCAGAGGGTAAAAAAATTAAAAATTAAAAAAATTAAAAAAAAAGGGCAAAGCCCAAAATAAATAGGTTGAAATGTTGTGTGGAGAGCGAATGCCCATATGCCCAAAAGAGTCAGGCTTTCTATTATCACCAACCAGGCGACCAAAAATACGTCCAGTACTACAAAAAATTATTCAGCAACCTGCCGCTATTACCACCAACCAGGGGATCAAAAGTACACCCAATATTCCAAAATTATTCGGCAACCCGCTGCTATTACCACTAATCAGGTGATGAAATGTACAACCCGTACTCTAATATCATTTGGCAACTAGCCATTCATGCCACCAACCAGGTGATGAAATGTACAACTCGTACTCTCTTTCATGCCACCAATCAGGTGATCAAAAGTACGCCAAGTACTTCAAAATTATACATAAGCATTACTCATGTCAATCATACATAAACATACATGAGCCCTACTCATGGCAATCATACATAAACATTCATGAGCATGTCAATCATACATAAACATTCATGAGCATCACTCATATCAATCATACATAAACATTCATAAGCATCACTCATGTCAACATTCATGAGCATCACTCATGTCAAACATTCATGAGCATCACTCATGTCAATCAACATAAACATTCATGAGCATCACTCATGTCAATCTAGCTTCAAAAGCTTCATTTACAAAGCTCTAGCTTCAAAAAGCTTCATTTACAGAGCTCTAGCTTCAAAAGCTTCATTTACAAAAGCTCCAGCTTTAAAAGCTTTATTTACAAAGCTCCAGCTTCAAAGCTTAACTTGCAAAGCTTCACCTACAAAGCTTCAGTACAGGGTATACAAATACCACCTCCGAACAACCGCCATTTCGGCCCATACATGGATTCAATTTGAAGTCTCCAGCCAACAGACTCTATTAACCGAAGACTTGGGGGACTACATTATGTACCATATATTGAGCCTTAACTGGGCCTTATGAAAAATACTTAGGGGACATAGCCCATTATTTATGTATTAAGGAGCGAGCCCTTATTCTATAAAAGGGACTCCCTCACTTTCATTAGAGAGCACCCATTATTCATGTACTGAGGAGCGAACCTTTATTTTATAAAAGGGACTCCCTCACCTTCATTAGAGAGCAACGCCGTCAGCTGAGCAACCGCCTCGCCGCGAGCATCACTCCTAACCCATCATTTATGTATTGATGAGCCTTATTCTATAAAAGGGACTCCTTCACCATCATTAGAGAGCATCGCCGCCTACTGAGAAATCGCCTCGCTGCGAGCATCAACTCTAGCCCATATTTATGTACTAAGGAGTAAACCCTTATTCTATAAAATGGACTCATTCACCTTCAACGCCACAAGTTGAGCCAACCAAGGCAACATAAGCCACGAGCTAAGCAGCCTCGCAGCATGTGCTACTTATAATTGAGCATCATTTCATATTGAGCACCTTCCCATATCGAACATCAGTTCAAGATAACATCTAGTTACTTCGGCCCACACATGGACTGAATTTCAAGTCTCCAGCCAAAAGACTATCTTGACTGAAGACTTGAGGGACTACTGTTTATACCATATTTAAGGCCTCGTATTTAGATCTCGTACAAATACTTGGGAGGCTTAAATGTAATTATGTGATAAAGGAATTGGCAAATATCTAATAAGTGATGAGTCATTATTCTATAAAATGACCCATTACCCTCACAATAGAGGAGGCCAATTCCTAGGCCCTCTCACCCTCTCTCAAAGCTCTCACTCTCAGAGCTCTCTCTCCCTCAGATAAATACATAATCAGTGTGGACATAGCCCAAACCTTAGGGTGACTCACGATACATCTTGTGTTAATTACACTTCTTACAAATTCACGGTCGGATTTACCTTGTTCCAAGACCCCTCCGGTTTTGTGCATCAACAAGCTTCAAGTGAAATTGATACATTACCTTGTGCATCTTCATCGGTTAAAGATACCACCCTTGGATGGAGGAAAAGTACTTCCAGAGAAGATGCCACATCTACATATGAGACAGATAAGGCAAGTGAAAATGATACCACACTTCGGTACTTAGAAGTTTCGTGATTACTCAATGACTTGGATCTTGCAAGTCCCCAACCAAGGAGCTTCCCTCACTCGGGAACTTAGGGGAGCGTTGTTTGTACCATACTTGACCAATCCCGAAACTACTGAGCACCGGTCAACGTTATACCGTCAAGGACCTAGAAGAGTTTCCCTCCAACCAGGAGGCCAATCACAGCGCGGCACGTGTCAACATCAGAAGTCAATTACAACACGACATGTGTCAATGTCAAAATGAAACTAGAATCTCTCTTCTATAAATAGAGATCATTCTCTCACAATATTTCCTAATGTCATTTGTATTAAATCATTCACTAGTACTCACAAAATGAGAGCTTGAACCTATGTACTTGTGTAAACCCTTCACAATTAATGAGAACTCCTCTACTCCGTGGACGTAGCCAATATGGGTGAACCATGTACATCTTGTGTTTGCTTCCTTGTCTCTATCCATTTACATACTTATCCACACTAGTGACCGAAGCAATCTAGCGAAGGTCACAAACTTAACACTTTCTGTTGTACCAAAGTCCTCACTGATTTTGTGCATCAACATGCTTTATTCACTATGATATATAGCATGACAATACATTACTCAAATGATAGGCGCACTCAATCTTAAAACGAGAAAGATATGGAAAAATAATTAAGAACAAAGTTATTGTTTCCAGTGACTGTAATCTCAATGCTTCCTACTCTCCAAAATAACAAAGTTGTTGAACAAATATTCACCACAGTATAAATCCGGTTCAAAATCAAAATAAGTAAAGGCTTCTAATAAATAAAAAAAGATTTAAAGGTTTCCAACTCAAAACATATCATCTTCCACCTGCACCTAAAAATTATAAATCAAGTTCAGTAGTGAAAAATAAGAAAAAATTTTGGGTAACTTCAAAGCATTTAAAAGTAATTTACTCTAATTGTATTGTAGAAACTACTCCTCTGGATTATGTTGTTGCCCATAAACATATGGATGTGAATCCTGCATTACATATAGCTTCACATTAACTAAATGCTAAAAAAAACAAATATGCCTTGTGTGATAAACAAATCAAACCTGGCTGAGTTGAGGATTTAGTCCAAAGGGTTCGTATGATAAAACTTGTGGATGAATTATGCCACATATATATAACAAATAAGAATTACTATGTGTATTCATAAATTCCGCATTCCCAAAGTAAATCGATCAATACCTGACTCACCATAAATTGACTATCTTGTAGCATACTTGCAAATGAAAAACCAGGCTGGATTACTTGGTTAGATGGAGGCAATGCATGATTGTTTGTTATTAACAAGCTTACAGTTGGGAAGACCTGCGTAACATTTATAGGATGATATGCAATTAGTCTTATTTAGAGAAGATAAGAGCATTCAAGGTCTTAAAACATACATCACTGTAAACTAACTGTTGTTGAGTGTCATTGTAATACCTTTCCCTTGATTTAAGGGAGTAGACTTGCATAAGTTAAGTTTAGATAGGTTGGCAGATTCTTTATTCCTTATTTTTTTATTTTCTTGTTGGCTGCTTGCAGCAGCTTTATTTTCCACTTTCTTCCTACTACTTTCTCCCCATTTCCTGATTTCTTGTCGGCTGCATATAGCAGCTTTCCCTCCCTCTTCTCATATATATCCGGTCTCCCTCTTGTACCAATACATATGAAATACATATGAAAACTTTAAACCAGAAATTCTACATGGTATCAAAGCAGGTTTTGTAACCTGTCTCTGGCCATTCTTCACGCTGCATCTTTCTTTCAATTGTAAGCCATGGCTGAAGAAGATTCAATAAACATTGAGGGTGACATCTCGCATGCCTCTCCTTCAAATTTCTCAGACGTCGAGGTTAACACCAATCAACGTTTGTGTTCAGTTCTCTTGAATGAGTTTAATTATCTCCCTTGGTCTCGAGCTGTGTCACTATCTCTCGGAGGCAAAGGGAAATTAGGATTTGTAAATGGAAGTGTGGAAGCTCCAGACATTTCCTCCCCTTCATACGGTGCATGGCTTTGCAAGGATCAACTTGTCATGTCTTTGCTGCTCAACACCATGGAGAAACATGTTGCTGAGATTTTTAGCTACTACAATTCTTCATGTGAGCTTTGGAAAGCATTGCAAGATATGTATGGAAATCAAAACAACTATGCACGTGTCTTTCAACTTAAGAAGGACATAGCCAGTGCCCAACAAGAAGGGAAAGCATTTGTTCAACAATTGTTGGGGAGTTTGAACTCCGAGTACGAGGATCTAAGGAGTCACATCTTGATGAGTCAGGAGCTTCCCACGTTCAACAATGTCTGTGCAACTATCCAACGAGAAGAAGCAAGAAAGAAAGTGATGAATGCTGAGCACAACTCGAGATTGACTGAGACTCGTGCATATGCCTCAAACTACAAGACCTTAGAGGCAAAAGTGTACAAGGGTAAAAATACACACCTGAAATGCAAATATTGCAATGGCGTTGGTCATGTGGAAGACAAGTGTTGGGAACTTCATCCTGAACTCAAGCCTAAGTTCAGCAAAGATGGAAAAATGATACCAAGGTCCTCACAGCAATTTCAACCTCACTACAAGGCTCAACTTGCCAATGCTCATCCCTCTACTATCTCACAAGGATCCATGGAGTTCACTACCAACCCATTATCACTTATCAATGAGTTTGCAGCTTACCTTCAAAGTAAGGAACACGAAGGAGGTTCACAAGCTTGAGGCAATGAAAAGAGCAGTCATACAGCCATGTTGGGACAGTTTGCTGGCTTTCTTGCTGGAAATGAGAAAGTCCCAAAGGATGAAGCACCAGGTATACTCAAAGCTTTCACTACTGCCCTATTAACTAGTACTGAAAATGATTGTTGGGTAATTGATTCAGGAGCCACATATCATATGACAAACAAAGTCACAAATTTGAATCATTTTAAACGTTTTTTAAGTCCCTCACATGTGTCTATTGCAAATGGAAAAATGTCTTAGTTTTGGGAAAAGGAGAAATAAACTTACTCTCACACAAAACACCTTCCACTGCCTTATATGTACCAACCTTTCCTTTCCAACTTCTGTCAATTGGAAAGATCACAAACACCCTAAATTGCCGTGCCATTTTCTCACCAGATAATGTGATGTTTCAGGATGTTCTCACCATGAAGATGATTGGTGAAGGGGTCTTTATAAATGGACTTTACTACCTGTGCAAGAATACCTGTTTTACTCAGGCCCTTCAAGCTCAATCAAAGTCCGTAGATGAAAACCAACTTTGGCATAAGAGATTAGCTCATCCCTCTGAAGTTATCTTGTCTAAATTATTTCCAAATTTTTGTAAAAATCATGTTACTTGTGATACTTGTCAACTTTCTAAGTTTACTAGACTACCTTTTGGTAATTCAATGTCTAGGACAAGTAAACTCTTTGAAATGGTGCACACCGATGTATGGGGACCAACAACTGAATCAATAGAAGGGTTCAAGTACTTTGTTCTATTTATCGATGACTTCTCTCGAATGAGTTTGGTGTACCTTATGAAATCAAAGAGTGAAGTTCAAACTATTTTCAAAGATTTTCATATGCATGTTAAGACACAATTTCAATCAGATATTAAGGTGTTAAGATCTGATAATGGCACTGAATTTCTATCCAACAACATGCTTCAATACATAAGTTCTCAGGGCATAATACATCAAACCAGCTGTGTAGGGACTCCCCAACAAAATGGAGTAGCCGAGAGAAAAAATAGAGATATCTTGGAGAAGACTCATGCCCTCATGCTTCATATGCATGTTCCAAAGAAATTTTGGTCATTTGCTATCCTCACTGCCACCTACCTCATCAACCGACTCCCAAGTCGTGTGTTAGGGTTTAAATCTCCCTATGAAGTACTCAAGGGTAGGAAAATTAATTTGACACGCTTCAAGGTATTTGGATGTGTTTGCTTTGTTCACATTCAAGCCTTGAACCGTGACAAATTAGATGCCAGGGCAACCAAGTGTGTGTTTGTGGGGTATTCTTCCACCCAAAAGGGATACAAGTGCTACAATCCAACCACTAAGAAATGTGTTGTGTCAAGGGATGTGAAGTTTGAAGAAGATTGTCTTTATTTTACTCATAATGGAAATACTACAAGTCAGGGGGATGAACTGTTTGAAATCTTTCCACTTCCTTAGAACATTAATAATCCAGTATTGGAAGAGATTTCAGTTACTGTGATACCAGATATTGAAGAAATACAAACTGACTCAATCACTAATAGCAGTATCCCGGCCAATGAGAGAGACGATGAGTCTCATTCTGATAATTCACAATCTCCTACAGAGCCTCAAGGGCTTAGAAGAAATCCTCCTCGAACCAGAAAACCTCCAACTAGGTTGCAGGACTATGTTACTTATGCCTCACGGTATCCTATCAGTGAAAACATCAGTCTTGGTAAGTTCTCAACATCTCATGCTACATTTCTCTGTGAAATTGATAAACACAATGAACCTAGAAGCTTTCAAGAGGCTTTTCTCCTCCCACAATGGAAACAAGCCATGGCAGATGAGCTTAGTGCTCTAGAAGAAAATAAAACTTGGAGCTTGGTTCAACTACCACCAGGAAAAAAGGCTGTTGGAAGTCGTTGGATTTACAAGATTAAATTCAAGGCTGATGGTTCTATCGAGAGACACAAGGCCAGGCTTGTTGCTCGAGGTTTCACCCAAACCTTTGGGGTAGATTATAAGGAAACATTTGCTCATGTGGCCAAGATGAATTCAGTGAGGGTTCTACTCTCAGTTGCAATCAATTGTGGGTGGACTCTTTATCAAATGGATGTGAAGAATGCTTTCCTTCAAGGAGAGTTACAAGAAGAAGTGTATATGCAGCCTCCTCCAGGTTTTGATGGTATTAAAGGCAACATGGTTTGTAAGCTACACAAGGCAATCTATGGATTGAAACAATCCCCAAGAGCTTGGTATGCCAAGCTCAGTTCAGTTCTAGAGAAGGCTGGATTCCTACGAAGTAATTCTGATTCCTCATTGTTTGTAAGAACTGGCACCAGTGGGAAATTGGTGGTGCTCATCTATGTAGACGATCTCATCATCACAGGAGATAGTGTTGCTGAAATTGAGGCACTAAAAGTCTCGCTATGCCAAACATTTACTATCAAAGATCTGGGGAAACTAAAGTATTTTTTGGGCATAGAAATGGCAACCTCTTCAAATGGGCTATTTCTACATCAACGGAAATATGTATTGGATCTTCTTCAGGAAGCAAAAATGCTTGATTGCAAACCTGCCATCACTCCCGTGGATTCTAAACTAAGGCTCAACACAGATGGAGAAGCCATGCATAATGTGAGTTACTATCAACGATTGGTGGGCAAACTTATATATCTCACCATCACACGTCCGGATATCACATATGCAGTGAGCCTGGTAAGCCAATTTATGCATTCTCCTACAGTTGATCATCTTAACATGGTTAAGAGAGTTCTGCGTTATCTCAAGGGTTCGATAGGGCAGGAAATCATCATGCGTAACAACAATTCCACTGCCATCAGTGGCTACACTGATGCAGATTAGGCACAGAATGCTCTTGATAGGAAATCTACCACGGGTTATTGCACGTTTGTTGGTGGAAATCTTGTCACTTGGAAGAGCAAGAAACAACATGTCATTGCTCGCTCTAGTGCAGAGGCTGAATATCGAGCCATGGCAGCCACTGCATGTGAACTTATATGGCTTAAAGAGCTTCTTTCAGACTTAGGGTTTACTAGCACTACTCATATGTCTCTTATGTGCGATAATCAAGCAGCCATGCACATCGCTGCTAACCTTGTGTTCCATGAAAGAACGAAACACATTGAAGTAGACTGTCATTTTGTTAGAGCTCAAGTGCAAACTCAAGTCATTCAGACCATCTTCACGCGAAGCCATGATCAACTGGCAGATCTCTTTACCAAGGCTCTGACATCTACTCCATTTCATCGTTTTTTGGGCAAGCTTGGCTCGATTAATCTACTCGATCCAGCTCGAGGGGGAGTGTTGTTGAGTGTCATTGTAATACCTTTCCCTTGATTTAAGGGAGTAGACTTGCATAAGTTAAGTTTAGATAGGTTGGCAGATAGGTTGGCAGCTTTATTCCTTATTTTTTTATTTTCTTGTTGGCTGCTTGCAGCAGCTTTATTTTCCACTTTCTTCTTACTACTTTCTCCCCATTTCCTGATTTCTTGTCGGCTGCATATAGCAGCTTTCCCTCCCTCTTCTCATATATATCCGGTCTCCCTCTTGTACCAATACACATGAAATACATATGAAAACTTTAAGCCAGAAATTCTACACTAACAAATTAGATTACTTGGTTTGATGGAGGCAATGCATGACTATTTGTTGTTAACAAGCTCATAGCTGGGTAAACCTGCGTAACATTTGTACTAATGGGTACAATGAGTTGTTGAAGAAAATTTGAATCATATGGTGCTGAACTATGTGAAGGGCCTATATCGCTTGGCTTCTTGGTTTTCCCTACAAAACAAATTTAAATTTTTTAAGTAAAAAAGAATATTGGAATTACATCTAATAGTTAATAAAAATATAAAATTTCACTTACCAGATGAGACAATATCTTTTGATGCCTTCTTTTTTCGTTTCTCCATAGCACTTTTTAATCTGGCATTGCTTACTCTTTTCGGCCTTACCAACGGAGAATTCAATATTGGTGGCTCATCAACTGAGCAACCATTCAAAAGTATGTCATTGCTCTCTTTATTAACTTTACCCTTTGACTTAATCATATCCTTTTCAAACAATTCCTCCCATCTCTCCCAATTTTTTCATGGCAACTCTAGTAGCATTTTCTGACTACGCTCCCTTACTCAATATATTATTAGTCATTCGCATCAAAGTGTTTCGACGCAATGTAACAGATGGTTTACCTTTTACCTACAATATTTAACTATGCTCATTTGCATCCAATCCTTTCTTTGCATCTTTTGTCCGGTACTTCAATATATGTTGTGAATGTATTTTAGTCCAAGATTTGACGTTTAGTACCCTTAGAGCGTGACGACACAACCAACCTATGGACTCGAACATTTTGCAGCTACAAGAAACCGTGTCATCTGACGCGTTAAGTTGGATAAGTTAAACTCTTGTTTGACACAAGTTCAACTCTTGTGTGACCCTTCTCATTAAGTTCGAAAGAGTAAACTGTACCACAACTCTCATATTCATGCATTGTCACTGCTAAGCTATTTAAAAACTCTCTTTTTTCAAATATTTTAAACATTTTCCTAGTGTAGACAGTAGTAGCATGCTTCAAAATTCCACTCATTTGGGCAACTCTAGAAGGGAGACTCTGATTGCAACGATAGGACTCTTCTAATTCACTTATACACATTTTTGCTGCTTGTTTATCATAATGATGCACAAATTCAATAAGTCTCATTGTCTTGGTAGAAATTTGGTGGAAAACGTTATTCGTACTCTCACTTCTTTGTGAAGATTGTATCCGACATGTGAAGGTATCATGTTTAAATGCCTGACACCATTCGGCACGAAGCGCATACAATATATTCATTCGTGAGCACCATGTAAGGTTGACTTCTGCAACTAGCTCATCCCAAGTCGATTGGAATTCCAATTATGTCTCATAATATTTAAGACATTTATTGAACAAACGTCTAAAATCAGGGTTCGCATAGAGACTTGACATATTTTTTGCACAATTCTGAGATATGTGCCACGAGCATAAACGATGACATACCCTAGAAAAAACTTTTTCAATGTCATTTGCCATAGCTTTACACTAATCAATAAAAATTGTCTTTGACTTTTGACATCCCATTGATTCTAAAAAAGTTTCAAATAACCAAGTAAATGTTTCTGTTTTCTCATCCAGTAAATGCACAACCGAACAATACATTTTTCCAATGGTGATTAACGCTGACAAAAGGAGCACAAATCATGTTATACCTATTGGTCCGATAAGTAGTATCAAATGCTACAACATCCCCAAAGCACTCATAGTCAAGTCACGACATTCCATCTCTCCAAAAAAAGTTTTGTCTTCGATTTTCTTGATTCACTTGCATAGTGTAGAAGAACATAGGATCCTTTGCTTGCTTGTGCTTGAAAAGGTTGATCAAACTTTGAGCATCCCCTGCTTTAAAAATGACCATTTTTTCCGTATTCACAATATTGTAGCAATCTCTTTGTGTAAAACCTACATTCTGAGACCCACCAGCTTCTTCTGCTAAATAAGAATATGTATTTGTAGTCCTTATTCCTGCATCTGCCATGGTTTTAATCACACCAAAATGAGCTTTAGAAACTTTTCTATTTGATCTCAAAAACTGCCTCTCTTCTGGTTTAGCAAGCTCGTGATTGTGTTGAGAAAAAAATTGAGCAACTTTTAACGTACCATCTGTTTGTACTACAAATCGAATTCCAGCTTTGCAACCTGTTCTTGTCTCCAGTTTATAAAAATTGCTTGCTTCTGATGGGTCACCATCTACCTTAAAACCTTCTTTT